ATTTAATTTTTAAAATGTTATGTTTTTAATTGAGATTTTATGAAATGAGTACAAGTTGCCTATGAGATTAGTTTTTCATCGCTTTTTTTTTTATAACACTTTATGGAAATATTTATTCATTATTGATAACTTAATTTTTAAAAATATGTTATAAAATTTTCATTAATAAAATATTATATTAAATAATTAATTATTTAATTTTTAAAATGTTATGTTTTTAATTGAGATTTTATGAAATGAGTACAAATTGCCTATGAGATTAGTTTTTCATTGCTTTTTTTTTTATAAAACTTTATGGAAATATTTATTCATTATTGATAAATTAATTTTAATTAATATGTTATATAATTTTCATATTTATATTAATATATAAAATTTTTGAATATAATTATTAAATAATAATATAATTATTATAATAAAAAATAAAAAATTATATCCATTACATTTTATAATAGTTTTAAACGTAATAATAATAATAATTAATAAACAAACTCTAAAAGTTACATTTTAAAATATTTAATAGAAAAAGGTCTTTTCAAGATGAAGTGATTTTATTTCGGTCAACTTTTTGTCCGTCAAATTCTAAACGTCGCTTCACCGCCGTTTACACTTGTCCTTCCTTCCTGTCTCCCACTGATTTCCCTTTCTCTGTCCACAGTGCATATAGTGTAGACCATAGACTAGAGTGTGTACCCTCTCTTTACTCTCTCTTCATAACATCTCCGTTCAGTCTCTACCTTGCGGTTCACGCCAAACGTCTCTCTGTTGTTTGTTTCCCTGATTTCCCTTGTGTGTCTGATGCCAAAGACGAAGCCTTTTCTTCTGTGTTCCAGCGACATAGATGCTCTGCTTTTTTCTGCATTTATTTAATTAAAGTCGATATCTTGTCCTATATTGTTTGTGGGTTGGTGTTGGCTTGGGGAACAATGGAGGTGGGTTGGTTTATGGAGGAGAGGAAGAAGAGGAGGATGGAGCTTTATGGGTTTTTGGGAATCCTGGTTTTCGCTCTTCTTTGTCCCGTCGCCACTTCGCTCGACGACGAAGGTACTGTACTATTGTTTCGCGGCGTTTGTTAACGGGAATGTATTCGGTGGTGTTTTGAGTGGTTTGTAGTTTCAATCCTTTCCCCTTTGAGGTTCTGGGTTTTCCATGCATGGAAATTCCGGAGCTTGTTCTATTGCGCTGTTGTTTAAAGGAGTGCTTTAAGTAACAGATGTATCATTTGGGGTCTTGGGTTTCGTCTTTTGGATGAATTTTTTAAGTTTTGGAACGCCATCTGTTTGCCTTAGAATATCGGGAGTAGTGGGTTGAACTGTTTCCTTTTTATATATAAAAAAAATAGTAGGAACTTTTTCTTTCGGACAAAATTATCTATATGTTGAGCAAGAGAAATGGTGTAAATTTTGTTGATAAGATACCCGTTTTGTTTGATGAAGAAATAGAAAGAAAATTCAGCGGAATTCATGTCAATTTCCCCATTATTTAAAGCATAGCATCAGAAATTAAAGTGCTTTCCTACTTGGGTTTAGTCTGTAGTTCGGTCTCTAGATTGGGGATAATGTAGTTTAGGTGGTTAATTGAAAAGCATGATTAAGTTCTGGGTCTGTTTGTTTTAATCATTTCTGTTTTGAAAATATTTTGTTCTAAATTTAAGAGGTAAATAAGTGACAAAGTGTGGTTACAGGGAAGGCTTTGATGTCGATTAAGGCATCGTTTAGCAACGTGGCTAATGTGCTGCTCGACTGGGATGACCTGCACAATTCTGATTTCTGTTCTTGGCGTGGCGTTTTTTGTGATAATGCCACCTTCTCTGTTATCTCCCTGTAAGTTTCTTGATATGTAGCATTATATTTTGCTTAAACAGGATGAGGTTGAAGTGGGATCCTGTTTTAACTTTTTTCTTTTGGCATTTTGATTGAAGGAACTTGTCAAATTTGAATCTGGGAGGGGAGATTTCTCCGGCTGTGGGTGATCTGAGGAACCTTCAGTCCGTGTAGGTCTTGTTTCTGAAATTTGTTTCCAATTTTTGACGTTTGTTTAAGCTGCACAGTGTGTGATGTATCTTTGTTTGTTTCCTTGGTTGTTCAAATTTGGCAGAGACTTGGAGGGGAACAAATTGACAGGGCAAATCCCAGATGAGATTGGGAACTGTGTCTCTGTTGTTTATCTGTAAACCATCTTTCTTCTTGAATTTGTATGTTTTCTTGCTTCTTTGGTGGTACGTGGTTCATGGGTTTACTGTTCTGTGTGATTCAGGGATCTATCCGATAATCTGCTGTATGGTGATATACCCTTCTCCTTATCTAAGCTCAAACAGCTTGAATTTTTGTAAGCTATTTTCTAATATCCAGTTTCGTAGATGGCTACGTTTTTTTATAAATATAATGGATTGAGGCAACTGCCTCTTATCAGGAATTTGAAGAACAATCAGCTGACAGGCCCTATTCCTTCGACCTTAACCCAGATTCCTAATTTGAAAACCCTGTGAGTTTGAATCTATCATGTGTGGTCTGTTATTTATGTGCGAAATCATTTAATATAAACTTAATTATTTTGGTGCTTCTATCTCTTCAGTGATCTTGCAAGGAACCAACTTACCGGGGAGATACCGAGGCTAATTTATTGGAATGAAATCTTGCAGTACCTGTAAGTGATAGCTTGTCAGGAATTAAGTGGCAGCTTCTTATTTATGGGTTAATGTTTAGGCGGCATCCTTTTGTTGATGTTTTGTTAGGATCTTTGTGACATGGTTAAACCTCAGGCAATCACATTCACATCCAATTTTAGGATTTTTGTTAGATCACAATCTGACGTTACTAATTCTCTGAATTTCAAAGTTTTAGCCTTGTTTTTGGCGTGCTGTTTCATTAACGTAGTTGCAATTTTTGTTACAGTGGCTTGCGTGGCAACATGTTGACAGGAACGCTGTCACCTGATATGTGTCAATTAACAGGCTTGTGGTATTTGTAAGTCTTTGTTCTGTATTCCAACTTACCATGCTTCCATTCCCTGCTTATATTTTACCCATTACTAAAATTGTGATTCTTAATTTCCTTTTCTGGGTGCTGGTTCCAGTGATGTTAGAGGCAACAACTTAACTGGTACAATTCCAGACAGCATTGGCAACTGTACTAGCTTTGAGATCCTGTATGTCATGCCTCCAAATGCTCTATCCTGCCTATTTTCTCTTCAGTTTTACTTCCCTTTATATAAACTAAAGTTTGTTGGGAATTCAGGGATATATCTTATAATCAGATTACTGGAGAGATACCGTACAACATTGGCTTCCTGCAAGTTGCAACCCTGTAAGTTCTTTAGCTTTTGTTGATCTTTTAAGAAGACCATTTGGTTTATCTGCTTTGGAGTGTAACATGTGTCCTGGTAGGTCAGTGTATCTACTTCAGAGTCTAACATGTGTCTTTCTGATAGGTCACTTCAAGGTAATAGGCTCACAGGGAAAATTCCGGATGTGATTGGTTTAATGCAGGCTTTAGCTGTATTGTAAGTATACATGCCATCCAAAGCTGTAAAGTAATCCCTTCTGCATTGCAATTTGGTTCAAGCATCTGAATGGGAACTTGAGAAATCTTAATTTTTTGCTTTCTAGGGATTTGAGTGAGAATGAGCTAGTTGGACCAATTCCACCAATACTTGGCAATTTGTCATACACTGGGAAATTGTGAGTTTTGTTACAGGGAAAATAAAAATTTAAACTTCATCTATGTAACTTTATTTATTTTACTAGTGCTCTTGTTACTGCACAGATACCTTCATGGTAACAAGCTTAATGGAACGATTCCACCTGAACTTGGCAACATGTCAAAACTTAGCTACCTGTGAGTTTTTTTTTATGACTGAATATCTCAGTAATAGTTTAAGATGCATGCTTATCAATGATCTTATGAACAGAAGTGTCACTAAGTTATTCTTCCACAGGCAATTGAATGACAACCAACTAGTTGGTACGATACCTGCTGAGCTTGGGAAGTTGGAGCAGTTGTTTGAATTGTGAGTTTTTGTTGCTGTGGGCTATACAGTAATTTGCTTTTCACATTATGTTAATAACCATATCTTCTTTATCTCAGGAATCTCGCAAACAATTATCTGGAAGGACCCATTCCGCACAACATTAGCTCCTGCACAGCATTGAATCAATTGTATGATGTCTATTGAGTTTCAGAAAGAAGTCTTCTTGAGTTTTGTTGTCCTAAGTATCTCTGACTCTTCTATGTTTATCTTTAAGCAATGTGCATGGTAATCATCTAACTGGATCTATTCCCTCGGGTTTCCGGAACTTGGAGAGCTTGACTTATCTGTAAGTTTCTAGGTATCTGGATTTTGAAGTGTTTCCTCGTCACTTAGCCATAGTGCCATACATTAATTGAGCTAAACATTTTGAATGTCAAGGAATCTTTCTGGGAACAATTTCAAAGGCAGGATACCAGTTGAACTGGGTCATATTATCAATCTAGATACCTTGTAAGTTTCTCAAGTTAATGTGTGTTTTGCCCATGGTTCCACCAAAACTAATAGTCCTTATGTACCTTCATTCTTTCAGGGATCTATCTGGCAACAAGTTCTATGGGCCTGTTCCAGCTACCATTGGTGATTTGGAGCACCTTCTTACCCTGTAAATTTCTACCTGATTCGTGTACTACATGGTGGTTGATGTCTGAACTTCATCAGTGATGTATAATTTTTCTTGAAATTTCTGTTTCTGAAGGAATTTGAGCAAAAATCAACTTAATGGTCGGTTGCCTTCGGAGTTTGGGAATCTTAGAAGTATCCAAATTATGTGAGTTCTTCTTACGTCACTGGAGCTGTCATTGTGTTTATTATATTTTGCTTCTCGTCCCTTTTGTAACATTTTTTATCTCTTCATCCTTAGGGACCTCTCATTCAACTGTCTTTCTGATACCATACCTGCAGAATTGGGTCAATTGCAGAATATTGTGTCCTTGTGAGTTCAAATGCCAGTGCCTTCATATTAAGTATTTTATGTTTTGAGTGTCTATGATACATAATCTGAAATGGTAACAAACTTGTCATTCTGTTTGGAAGAATACTAAACAACAACAAGCTGCAAGGTGAAATCCCGGATCAGCTCACAAATTGTTTCAGCCTTACTAATCTGTAAGTTTTTTACTTGATTTGTTTTCAAGTTATTTCATTCATTTCGTTATACCATACTGAATTTAAAAGAATAAATATTCCAGGAATGTTTCATACAACAACTTATCAGGCATCATACCTCCTATTAGAAACTTCACAACATTTTCACCAGACAGGTATAGCCAGTCTCTAGCCAGCATGTGGTTATGTATTTGTTAAATTTGCTCCTGTAATGATCGCTATGGTGCTGTGACAGCTACATTGGAAATCCATTACTGTGTGGCAATTGGTTGGGATCAATTTGTGGCCCTTCTGTGTCAAAGTCCAGAGGTATTTTATTTTTCTGGGACTTCTTCAATGCCTAGAATGAATGGCCTTTGTATTTCCTTTTTACCCTAACTTTCTTCCTCTTTATTGCTTCCAGTGTTCTCCAGAGCTGCTGTTGTTTGCTTGACACTGGGCTTCGTAACATTGTTAGCCATGGTGATTTTGGCCATTTACAAATCCATCCAACAGAAGCAGGTGAAGGGTCACTTGGAAACAGTGCAAGGTATGTATTCCTTTGCTTCATATGGCTTCTTGTTATTTGATTTGTTTCTCAATTCCCAAATTGTCTCTCTTTTCAGGTCCACCCAAGCTTGTGATCCTTCACATGGATATGGCTATTCATACTTTCGATGATATTATGAGATTCACCGAGAATCTGAGTGATAAGTATATCATAGGATATGGTGCTTCCAGCACAGTTTACAAATGTGTGTTAAAAAATTCCCGACCCATTGCAATTAAGCGACTTTACAATCAGTATCCTCACAACTTGAGGGAGTTTGAGACTGAGCTTGAAACCATCGGTAGCATCCGACATAGAAATATTGTTAGCTTGCATGGTTACTCCTTATCTCCATTTGGCAACCTCCTCTTCTATGACTATATGGAGAATGGCTCTCTGTGGGATCTTCTGCATGGTTCGTTAATATGCTGCAACTTTTTCCTACCTCTTTCTCAATTTAAAAACCCAACATGCACACTGAATTAAGTTTTTCCATTTTTGTGGCTGTATTTCCATCTTATGTTAAGCTCATGCAATAGGACCATCAAAGAAGGTTAAAGTTGACTGGGAAACACGGTTGAAAATAGCTGTTGGAGCTGCCCAAGGGCTTGCCTATCTTCACCATGACTGCAATCCTCGAATTATTCACAGGGATATAAAGTCATCAAATATTCTGGTGGATGAGAATTTTGAGGCACATCTCTCTGATTTTGGGATTGCCAAATGTATTTCGAGTGGAAGAACACATGCATCCACTTTTGTTCTAGGAACAATTGGTTACATTGACCCAGAGTATGCTCACACCTCTCGACTTACAGAGAAATCAGATGTCTATAGCTTTGGGATTGTCCTTCTAGAGATTCTGACTGGGAAGAAGGCTGTGGACAATGAATCTAACTTGCACCAACTGGTATGTGTCAGTTCCAGTACTTGATAAATCTCTTGTATCAATGATGTCACAATTCTCTTACTCGTTTACAATAGACATCTTAATCAGCTGGTATCATACATAGAGCAAGTGCCAAAGTTGTGCATGTGAAGAATTTAACTCCTGGTCTTAATGTCTATAACCTGTTTACCCTTTCTTAGATACTGTCAAAGGCTGATGATAATACTGTCATGGAGGCTGTTGATCCAGAAGTCTCCGTTACATGCGTGGATTTGGCTCATGTCAGGAAGACCTTCCAGCTTGCTCTGCTGTGCACAAAACGCCACCCTTCAGAGCGGCCAACCATGCATGAGGTTGCCCGGGTTTTACTCTCCCTCCTTCCTGCTCCTCCAACAAAGCCTCGCTCGGGTCCACCAAAGCCCATTGACTATGCACAGTTTGTTATCGACAAAGGACAGCAGCAATCACAATTACAACAGCAACAGCCTGAATTTCTGCAGCATACCAATTCATCAGATGCTCAGTGGCATGTCAGGTTTCGTGAAGTCATATCTAAGAACACCCTTTGAATCTGCGCTCGACCCCAAAATGAAACTTTGTTCTTTTTTGGTTCACAATGGGTTCACAATGTGGCATTTTTCTCAGATTTGGAAGGTATGAGCAATTCAGAGCTCTGCGTTTGCCCTCCTTTTTGTCTGTTCCAAGGCGGTGGCAAGGCGGACTAACCTACGCATTATGTACTAGGGAATGTAAGATTAGATCCTCAAGCTCTTTTGAAAGCCCTTATGCAAAAGATATCCCAAAATCATTCTTAGGCAAACTTGTACGTAATGATATGCTTTTATATTAAACGTATTCTTCTGAATTTAGCATATTGGTAGGGAGCTATTTATACCATGTCTGTTGACTGGTCTCTGATAAAATCTCAACCAGTACTAAACATGGAATGGATTACACAGAAATTGGTTTAAAGAGGATAAACCGAGAAAGAACTCCTTAGAAATGTATTTTTCTTCTCCTCTATGGACTGCACCAAAAAGGTGGAGTTTGGTTCGGGCAGTGAAATTATTTAAATTATTTTAATGAAACTCCCTTCTCATACTTGTTCATTAATGGTGTTTTAGTCATTCAAGGGCAGTTCTCATGGAAAAACATTAATCTCATAACAATCAATGACAGTACGCCGCTGTGAACCAAAGTTCTTTGTTATGAAGGAAGTAGCAGTTTATTAGATCTCTAGTACATAGACAATATTCTCTCTCCAAAATTTTCCTCAAGCATATTTTTATTACATTATTTGTACCAAAGATTTTCAGTTCTCTCTCACCATGTGCCTCAGATCCTGCAATAAATAAATGTCGGTTCAATAATATTCAAGAAATTATAACCAGTCTATAAAATGAGCTACTTAGTATATGAATTATATACGCCGCAAGTGCTACATAAATCATAATGACATTTTAGAAAAATGTTTTGCAGTCTGGGATAGCAACATTATGGCTCTTGAATGGGACATGTGCTGGGTTCTATTCATTCAAGAGCTTAGGTTTTATAGTTCAGTGTAGGCCAAACTGCAAAAATTATTTCTAATAGCGTTTATCATCTTCTACGAAGAGAGAGTTACCGTGCAACTTCTTGTTTCCATCATTTTCCAGCCTTTCTGTCTCACCACCTCATCGAACACATTCTTGTCAAATTTCTCATCTTACTCCAGTCACCTGCAATATTGATGTGTGAATAACATCTCTAATTGCTTAAAAGGTCCATTCCATGAGAGTTATGGTACATTATAGAATCTACGGATCTGACCTGGTTCATTATATTCTAAAGAATTAAAATGAAACAGTTGCTTAACCATTAACCAGTTGCTTTTAACACTACATATAGCTGGTTGCATACCAGTCACCACTATTGTCATGATTTTTAGAGCAAGAAGGTCTAACTTTAACATCCTAACAATTAGGAACACGAGTGAGAAGGAATCAGAAGATCAAAATAGTCACATAAAGATCAATAGTGATTCATCAAACTAGTTAAAATAGGCGACACCTGTTAATGTTGGTCTTGGTCGAATTTCTTTGGTCCTCTCACCCCTGCATAGATATTGCACCCCACCAATTGTCTATGGTTTCTCTTGTTCCACATTCATAATCTACAAAATGTATGTTTTAAAGCTATAATTATTGCAGCAGTAGGAGAAAAATCACTGTCATTTTACTTCTTCTCCTCTATGCTTACTTGTGCTCAGAACGAAATTAATATATTGTAACATACCTCACTTTGTTGGATTGAACCTGGCGCATTCGCCTTTGATCCCGTAATTCAGTCAATGTTAGTACTCCTAAATTAATGACAGTGTACTGAAGATATTCTCAGTTAACATTTAGAACTTTGAAGGAACTAACCTTATCAGTGAGAACCTTTCTTGACCGCAATTCTACGTCAGGTTGGACATCAGATGACAGGGAGAGCTGGATATCATACCCAGAGAAAGTGTATAATCAAAATTAACATAAATGAATAATGCACAAATTGGTGAACTGTCTTCAAGATGGTAAAGATGGAAGTAATTCTTAAAATTAACAGTATCAAATACTACCTTATTAAATAACTCTGTTGGTGGCTCATGCATAGGCCCTGTATCTGCTGGTAACTTGAACCCCTACAGAAGTAAAGCACAGAATTGACAACAAAATGTGCTAAACATTGAAAATAAATGGTATATATCTCCTTTTCCTCTAAGTTTCCATGCAGACAACAGTATTGCTCCACGTATTATAATTTTTTTTTTTTGGCCAACACACATTGTAAATTTATTATTGTTAAAACAGAAAAATTATTGAAGAATAAGAAAGAAAAAAAAGGGGGGGCAGGGGGGGGCGAAGAAATGTGGTTTCTGTAGCACCTTCTTACTAAGGGGACAAGCTTTATGACCACCATCATGTCTCTCCTTTAAAGCGATGCAAGAGTTTAATCTATAAAAAGAAAGGCACATCATGTCTGAAACAATTGGAATAATCTTAACTTAAAATATGTTTGTTAAAAAGGATCACAAATATGCATTAATGCATGTACTAAGAGACTAGTTGTGAACTGAAATCTAATAAGATCGAGTAGATTATTGTGACTTGAATTAGGTAAGTTCAAACAACTAAAACCTTAAATAATGGGAAAGCAGCAGACAAGACAGTAAAAGACCATAATTCATAAGACAATTGAGAGGAGCTGCATCTTTACATGTTTGACATTGTGTAAACTGGCAAGAGCTAAATTCCACTGATTGTTACCTTCTAGGGTCTCTGACTTCATTTCGTGAAGTAGAAACATAGTTAGGCAGTTTTGTTGCCTGGAAAGATGAGAGCGTTAGCTTTCAACCATATAAGGAGTACTATGATTATAGGACTGATAGTGAGAACATAAATCACTAAATCTTAGAATATAATATATTAAGCTTGAAACTTGAAACATCGTTCAATCCAATATAAAGGTTAACCCACTTTATTTGAGGCATGTTGCTTGGCTCTCTCTGATGTCCTCAGCTGAAACTCCTGAAAGCAATGTAACAAAAAGAAAGAATTGTCTCAAACTTTAAGGAGAAAGTCAATTCACTCAAGAAATGTGTTCAGAACTTTAGATGTTCAGAACTTCAGATCAAATTAAGCACAAGCAAGTTAATGTGTTCAGTGATTACCTGAAAATGTGGCAGCTGTGGTATGCTCCTCTTGGGAAGGGTTAATGTGGGAGCCTTAAGGATCTATCAATTACAAAGGAATGGAGATCCCATATTACATGCTAATACACTAGATATTTCTTGAAAATTGTATATATCTATGAAACTCAGTTAAAAACAATGTGATAAAGTGTAAGTACCAACTTTTCTGTTTAAGGGCTGTGCTTTAAAGACTCGAGCATCTTTTGAATCCCCCTTCGATTCTTCCTTAATCTTTGAACTGAAATTAAGAACATATATAATCCAACACAGTTGGTAACTAGTATGGAAAGCATGATGTTCCGAACTTAAAAGATGGAGGGTAAAGAAAATATGAGAAGTAGATATTACCTATGACTCAGCGCCCTTCGTGCTGTTTCTAGCTCTGGTTCTCTAGGTACTGTAACTCTATGGCTGGTACCAAAGGATCCATCCTGGATAATGGAATAAAAGTATTCATAACTATACTAAAATGTTGATTTGATCATTACAGCACCATGAAAAATAAGTGCATATAATAATCTGTTTTAATTGCCAGTCAACCAGCAATACGAAACTTAAGAGTCAAGAATATTGATCTAATTATGCTGAAAATTTCCGAAATTTTGTCGCCGCCTCACCAACCTTTTTAGATGTCTTATGCACAAAACTGACTTGATGCTTCAGATGAGCAGCCTGCTTCACATAAGGTTTTTTTGCATTAGACTATACTAGTATTACTTAAAATTCTTTAATGGAATACTTGTATATAATACTTCAGCTTAACACAAAAACCAAGAAATGCATACAAAATGCGGGGGATTTGACATTTGAGAGTGAGTGAGCAATTCTCCAAACCTCAATAACGTCAAAATGAGTTAAAAACATATCAATCTTGAAAATCTTGAACTGTGTGATCTCTTACTTCTAGTTTAGAGGACTTTCAATCACCAATATTAGCATTCCAACTCATTTTCCAAAGGCATGCAGAAACAGCACAAGGACACCAAGGTATCAAAGAAAATTTTTACCAAACCTTGCTCAAGTAACCAGCTTCCAACTTTTGTCGTTTAGGTGGATGACCATCAATCAAGGAAGAACACTTTGAACTCTTATCATCAAACATGGCTACCAACTTCTCAAACCTTCTCAGCTGTTGTTCGAAATGAATTTCACGAGATTGATTTTGCTTGGCCAAATGGCTTGCTGTGGGTTTCATCAAAGTTGAACTCCTTGATAGAGATGACTTCACCTGCGACTTCGACTTGGTTTTAGCACTAGTACTACTCTTTGCATCCAAGTGACTAGATGCTGCTACTCCTGTCATAAGAAGGGCAAATTTTTTGAAAGTAAAAAATAACATAATTAGCACTATTTATATCTACTATGCATTTGAACCACTAATCTAAACGCCCCACATAAGAAAGTGATAAACTTTGTTCAATATTACTGTAATATTATTACATAGAATAAAGTGAAAAAATGACCTCTTTCATCATAATCTATTGCAGGAACTTCAGGTTCATCTCTGATTTCTGAAGCATTACTTGTAAAAGTCGCACTTCCGCCTTCCCCATCATACACAGAAGAAGGGATTACACACCCCCCACCAACAATAGCACATCTCTGCTTTAACTTTATTGCAAAAGCTGAAAACAGAATCAAATAAGTAAATGTTAGAGACTCCCCATCAAAGAACAAATTACTTCAAACCATCAACTAAGTTTTTCACTTCCGTTTTTAATTTGAAATTAATTGATTTTCATTTCAACTCAATGAATGAGTAAAAGACAAAGAGAAAACTGTTAAATTAATGCTTACGTGACGGCAGGTAATTCCCGGCCGATACAAACCAGAGCTCGGCTTCTGCAGCCTCCCAATCTGTTTCCGGCCGATTGAATTCGTAAAACTGAGGCGCGTCAAACTCAAAATCGTTATTGATTTCTACCGACTTTATTGGTTCATCAATTTCAAAAAATTCCTCCTTATCTTCCTCCATGATTACGCCAGGACTCTCAAGAAACGTATTTCAATCAAAGAAACCGGGTATCGCCATGGATTTCTACCACGCGAAATTAAGAGAAATTGTTTGGAGTCTGATTTAGTCGAATTTCATTTCCGTCTCTGGAGGTTTACTAATTATTCCATGCAATTCGTGAAATTCTCTCTCTTATCAAACCAGATAGAAAGTTATGATTCAGAATTTCATCAGGCTCTCTCTCCCTCCCTGAAAGGCTGGAATTTTCTCGGAAAATGTGGGAGGTCGGTCGGAACTAACGGAGAACTTCAGAATCAGCGAAACCCTAATCGAGAAAAAACGAAATATGATGAAAAAGGGGAAAATCTTTGGTGTCAGGACGGACGGTGAGTGTTTCGTTGATTAAGGAGGGAAAGGGGGAAGGAGGGAGGAACTGTCTCCATAGGAAAATCCGAAATTTTGAACTGGTGGGGCCTCATAAAGGGTACTGTTATTAAGGGGGATTCTTTTTGCCGTTTTCTATATATTTTTTAAAGATAAATTTAGCTTATATTTTAAGAGTATAAATGTTAAACTTGATTGGTGAACTTAATGATTAAAAATTTAAAATTTTAAAAGTTAAAAATTTTAAGTTTGAATGTAAGAAGAAATATAAGGAAAGAAGATGGTTATTCTTTTTTGTATAGTTTATTCAAATGTATAAAAAAAAAGGAGTGTATGTTAAAAATATCTTAAATGTATCATTTTTTAATTAATTTATATAAAAATAATAAAAATTAATTTTTATTTTAATATTATTACTATGTACACGGTTTTAATTAACTAATTGATTAAATTCAAGTCAATTTTTATTAATTTTTTATATAAATTAATTGTTAAAAAATATATTTATTATACGCTTAAATTATGAC